GCCTTTCTAAAATTTGGAAGAAATAATTTACTCGGAACATCTATAACAAAAATAAGTACTCGGAACATCTATTTAATTCATAATTTCTCGATTCGAACCACGGCCTTTTGTTGACGATAAAGTTTTGCTATTATCTCTGTATCTTTATCGTCTATTCCCGATTCCTATAATATCGAGATGAATTTGTCATGCTGGACTCTATCAAAGGCCTTTTCGAAGTCTATGAAGCACGCAGACATATACATGAAAAAAAAAAGAAATTACTTATTTGTTCAAAATTATTGATTAATATTTCAAATAGTAGAATGCAGAATATTTAGGCGGGAGGTTAATCACCGCGACCTTACAGATCTATTGTGTGTTCTCCTTTCGTGAGTTATAACAGGTTATAACTCACCATACAGTCTTAGGGCTTTGGCAAAAGCCGGTATCTGAGAAGGCTCTACAGAGACTAGCTCTCCATCTTCGACATCAGCCGTACCAAAGTTTACGGCAGGAACGGTTGTCGTCTCGGCGCACTCAGCGATAAGGTGTTCTGGTGTTTCCTCATTTTCCCCACAGAATCTGTTTCTCAGCTTGAATCTACCGAGGTGTTCGCTGAGGAGACAGTGTCCTGTTAGAACCCACGTGACAATCCAAAGATTATTCTACAACAATGTGTATGTAAAGTTTGGCCTTCTCATGACATTTCTGTCCTTGATATTTGCTTGTACAGGGTGAGTCAACAATGGAGCACAGTATCTGAGTCACATTATCTAATTTGTTTCCAGTTTTACGAAAAAATAAAATAATCAAAATGGATTAGGGATCACTTTGATAAATTTCGTTTATACAAAAAAAAAATATTTATTTGAACACATAAGCGTAGCAATATGTTCCTGTATTATAGAAATTAAGTTTGAATGTAGTGTATGCACCTTGGTGTTCATGACGAAAAAATTTGTCAAACTGCTAAAAATTACTACTAGACTAGAATATGTATCGAAAATAATGCTAAACATTTTTTATCTCCCCCAATTGTCAACAGAAATATTTTTTTTCAATAATGTGTGTGTCCACCGCGGTTTCTACGCACTTTAGCACACACTGATTCGCTATAGACTGAATGAGGCTCCGAATAATTTCTTGAGAAAAGGCATTTCCTCTCGAAGATTTTCTCCCAAAGTTTGAAGATCTGGTGCTTATGGACGACTTTTTAGTCTTCTCTTTAGTAGGTCCCAAAGGTACTCAATAGGATTGAGATCAAGGCTATTAGCAGGTCAATCCATAATTCTAATATTGGACTCTTCAAGGTATCGAGTAGCTACTCTTGCAATATGAGACCTGGCATTATCCTGCTGTAAGAGAAATTTTGGACCATGCTGAGCAACAACTGGAATAACATATGGTTCAAGAATCTCAATCTCTTGTATCGTTCAGCATTAATTATGCCGTCTAGAAACACATGCAAATCCGTACGCCCATTTAAAGTTATACCTCCCCATACCATGACGGAACCTCATGAATCGCTTCCAAAATGAATAGCATGATCTCCACCGGGCATCATTATGACAGTAGTCAAAAACGGGACTTGTCCGTAAAAAGGACTTGCCTCCACTGATCCACGCCCTAGTGAAGATGTTCTTGAGCAAATATCCCTCGTGCCCTACGATGATTAGCAGTTAAATGCGGCACAACAGCTGCTCGCCTTGATCGAATGTTAACTTCATTCAGCCTATACAGTTTGACTTGAAATTTGAGTTCCTGTGGCGATCATAAGAAGATTTTGTAGGTTTCTTGCGATAAGTGTTTTTTTCGCGAAGAGCGGCTTGAACAAGATACCGATCTTCCCACCTCGTTGTCCACCTTAGTCGTTGAAGATATGGTCTGCGGACAACAAAAAATTTTCCATGTCGATTCCATAATCTGGAAAACCAATTGTGTAACATGAAAAAGCTGCGACACGTATCGATGCGACCGACTCTCCTGCAATAAAGTTGTGGCTTCCCCCCTGATGACTTCAGTATCTAAACGCCTTCTAGCACCGTTTAGTCTTCCCAAAACATCAAAATTGGCCATATTTAATACCAATTTTGACGATTAAGAAGACAAAATCACACGAAATAAGAAATTCGTTTTTGTATCAATTTATTCATAAAACACAAAATTGTTCTGATTATATGCTGCTATAAATATACGGAGATCGGTTTATAAACAGAGTAAATAGAGATACAAATACATATATCTGATCCCTAATTCGTTTTGATTAGTTTATGTCCAATAATTTATAGGGAATGTTAATGTATACTTTTATATGCAAAAATCTAGTGACAGTATGTGTTTCTTTCTACATTTAAATCTAAAACTATTTTTGGTATACTTTTAGCTTAATTTTTTCGTTAACGATGATATATGCTTAGCTTTTCTACTATATCTTCAATATAAGATTTTTAGTGTTGTAAAAAATCTATAGCGCAAAAATATCTTATTTTAATATAGTATTTCAGATTAAACTAAAACTTTTTCCAAAACAATTCAGAAACAATAAAAACAAAAGCGATACAAATTCATATTATTACAATCAGTAATACAATTTATTAGCATGATTATAACGAAACGTATGAGCGGTCCAATAACTAATAATTAAAATTAATTGTTTATTATAAAAGGAAAATTCCCAATTGCAGTACAGCTATTTATATTTTGTAAATAGTAGTTTTCGATATTATAAATGTACTTAAACTTAAAAATAGTTTGGAAAAATTGTAATAAAAGTTAATGTTTACTTCAATTGTGACAGTTTAATTAACACAATAAAGTAAATAGTAAGTAGGTACATCAACAAAACAAATATTTGCAAGCTTATTTTGTTTTCTGCAAGGCAGATAAAGAATTCTTTTAGGAAATTGTAATATTTTCTTAAGCTGCCATCTTCCTCTAGGAGATGCGAGATCTTGTCGTTGGTGGGAAATTTCACTGTCTTGTCCCTAGCTGTAGTGTCGTGCATCTATAACAATGCCGGATGGGATTATCTTGTTCGTCATCAGGCGCCCTCTATTGTGTGTGATCATGTCTCATGGGTAGAGGAAGTGAGGGAATCTTGGGTTAACCGTGCTGACCAAGAGGAAACAACTTCACCAAAAACCTAAATCCTATGATGGCGAGACCAGGTCAAAGGGATGCGTGACTAGATCGTAGTCTAGCCTTTACTGGTTCCAACCTTGAGGCACCAGAGGGCACCCCGTTTTATTAACACCCTACATCTACATGCGGGGCTCTGTAAAAGTGGACCAACTAACCCTAAGCGACGTCTGGGGACATTATGAGATCAAGTATAAAAAACACCACCGGTGAAGCTGTGGGAAAATCCTATAGCAATACTGGGAGCATTTATCCATGAAAGTTCCATGGGACACACCCCAAAGGGAACACAGGAGAGGCGGCTGACACTTGCGCGAGACCAGCCTCCACAAGTGGCACACAAGCTTTTTTTGGCATACCACCTCCTCTAGTAAGGATCGGGAGCCTACCTCTAGATCCAGCAATCGACACAAGCTACCGTTTCCTCTACCCGGCCTGAGTCAACCAAGCGGTCTAAACGATCCACTGAGAGTAGTTCTTAACGGATCAGAAGTACAGACACACCTCCGACTGAGAACATGCTCCAGCGAAAGCAAAAGCAAAAACACTCCTCGAAAAAGGGGAGGGTAAAGGAACTAAGATACAGCCTGGCGCATCTTCACTAAAGGGCATGAGAGAGAACGAGAACCTCTCACCCTCAATCTAAGCTCTCGCCTCTGCTTCGGCAAGAAGCGAAAAAGCCAGGATGTAAAGTCGTCCATCACCGAGAAGTAAGCAGGGACGTATCATCAGCTTTGCCGCTATTGCTAGACAAGTGAAAATGGTGATACTGTCAAAGGATTACCCAGAGGTTGCACTGACCACCGACCAGCAAACGGCTCTAGAAGCTCTCTCAGGGATACTGGATGAAGTAGTAACGAGCGGATTACAACGCAATGATCCACAAAATGTGGATCAGCTGTATTTTGCGGACCTACACTTTCGGGTGGATATGCTATTATCTAAGAGTAATCTAGTTTTTTTTGCTAAATATGAAAATGTTTAATCAATAAACACTAAAACTGCATATTTTGATATTTTCACTTTTCAAAGCTTTTAAATATACGAATTATTGAATTGAAAAAAAATACTCTCAGATAGATTTTTTATGAAATTTTATGTTCTACAAGAATAAGCGATGTAAAAGTTTGTATTGTAAACCGTTTCAAAGTTCTGGTACTTTTAATGGAAAAATATTTTTTACCTGTTATTTAAATGGAAAACTTTGAATGTTCACCGACACCTTTTAAAATTGAGATGAAAATCCTACCTTCAGGGGATATTTTTTTCTCGGTTATTCGGTTCATTTTAACCCATAAATTTAGGTTAGTTTATTTGGCTCACCCCACTATACACTCACAAATTGTCGTTTTAATGTACATTTTAAAACAAATAAGTTATCAGACAAAAAGCCAAAATCCAGGAATTGGAAAACTCCAGCATTCTGTTAACTGGTGAATTGGCAACACTATTTGTGTGAGAAAGTGTCATTTTATAAAGGGAGGTAAATCTTTTTTTTTTTTGTTGGGACATTAAATGAAGTCAGAGACAACGCAGTGAGCAAAGTTTTGTCACATTTAGAGAAGAGTTACGAGTGTGTTTTATTACGTGTGTGTAATGTCTGTGTTTTATTCATTTTTCGAGTCAGTCAAAAGAAGTCAAAAGAAGGCAAAAGAAGGCAAAAGAAGGGCCTGGTAACGTAACAACGACGTCACCTAGGACACATTTCCCTTAAAGGAATAAAATGCTCACTGGGAAGACATATGGTGAAGCGATTTGAGAATTTATTATTTTGTATAATACTGCTACATCGGTAATTATTCTACGATGTTCTAAAGTTAATACGTTAAATCGGTTGCACATAGATATATGTATAACAGTCGTTAAT